TTTTTTTTTTTTTTTTTTTTTTTTTTTTTTTGTTCCCAATTGAAAAACGAATTTAGTATCGCGTTCAACAAGAGTAAACTGGAGTCCTTCGGGGCATCCGGTAAAAGGATTGGAACGGGATAACAGAGAGAAAGAGAAGGGTGATAAGCATAGGCCCTTGTGACACGCATGCGCACCAATCGAGAAATGGTCCAACAAGAGTAAAATGAAGATAAGACAAAAAGCTTTCTCTTTCTCCTTCTCTTTCTGAACGCAACTCATGGCCATGAGTTGGCCATTGCATCTGGGATTCTCTTTTTCTTTCTGTCGCCAGCTTCAGCTGGAGTGATCTTTTTTTTTCCTGTCGTTTCTTTTCTTTTATTCTGGATTTCAATTTTCTCCATGTCCTGTTTCTGTATTGCGCGATAGTGTTTTTTTTTTTTTTTTTTTTTTTGATGTAACCCGATTTTTTTTTTTTTTGATGTAACCCGAAATGGCCGCTGTGCGAAAAACAAAACAAAACAAAACAAAACAAAAACAAATCAGCCTTTATCCACCCGCGTACACGTTGCCCGCCGTTCTGGTTCACAAGAACTCTCTTGCGAGAGAGAGAGAGAGAGAGAGGGAGAGAGAGAGAGAGAGAGAGAGAGAGAGAGAGAGAGAGGATGAATAAGGGCCTTGACACATCACTATCGAAATGTGAAGAAGACGAAAATGTGGCGGGTGCATCTGGTCATGTTCTAGCGGGAAGTTCGTTCTCATTTTGCACATTTCGCGAGTGGTGTGGGGATGCCCTAACCTGGCGCGCCGCGGGTATATATGTGCACGAGGAAGATATGACACGCCTGCGGTTAGGTTGGCAGTGGGGTTTCCCTTCTTTGTCAGCGATTCTAGTGATTGAATTGCTTGATCGATACCAAGTACTGTGGGGGGTCTGGTTGGTTGATTTTAAGATGCTGTTAGGGCACACTAAGAATCACAAAGTTTTTTTCCTCCGATTGAATCTTCTGGTCTATAAGCTATTATATTACTAGTACCTTTGTTTGTTGTCTCCTTGCACATCTGCCAGCGCTACCGTGAGTCACGCACGTTTGCTGGTCGTCTTCAACTTTCTCTTCTTCTCTGATTCATAGCGCAGCACAGCTGCTGCTGCTGCTGCTGCTGGTGGGGACCACCAGTACCCTCTCTATCTTTTCTGCGAAGCCGAACAACCAGGCAGGTATAGGTATAGTACCATTCCTGGCAGTCGACTACCGTATTGCCGCCAACACAACGCACCCTCATTTCGACTGTATCGGGCCGGAAACATGTCTTGCATACGTTCATTTTCAGGGTGCGTTATGTTCGGGGGAAGGCGGTAGCAGGGTGAAATCCGAGTCTGTACACACACACACGGAGACAAACGTGGGGAACATTGCACCTTCTACTGCATGACATTGCCCGCCTATACTTTTTTTTTTTTTTTCTATGGATGGTTTATGATGATTGTGGATAGAATGGGAGCGAGAATTCGGAGGGGGGTTAGAAAACACACACACACACACACACACACACACACACACACACACACACACACAGACACACAGACACACACACACACATTACGCGGCCATGCTGTGCCTCCAGTGCCAGCGGCGTGTCTGGAGTGTACTTTCTGGCTGTAACAGGCCTTTCTTTGCGTCGTGGGTGTTTTGCTGGCTTGTGATGGTGTGTGAACCGACAATCTGTAGAGTTTAGCATCTGGTGTGGGCGAGTGATAGGCTGCTTTGATTTTTGTCACAGGT